TTATAAATACAACTGACGTTAAATGTTCGACAGACGATACAAATACAGACCTTACAGACGTTATAAATACAACAGACGATACAAATATAGACCTTACATACGTTATAAATACAACAGACGATACAAATATAGACCTTACAGACGTTATAAATACAACAGACGATACAAATATAGACCTTACAGACGTTATGAATACAACAGACGATACAAATATAGACCTTACAGACGTTATAAATACAACAGACGATACAAATATAGACCTTACAGACGTTATAAATACAACTGACGTTAAATGTACAACAGACGATACAAATATCGACCTTCCAATCGTTATATATACAACATACGATACAAATACTGACAGACGTTATAAATACAACTGACGTTACAGACGCCATATGTATAACTGTCGTTATACGTAGTACATATATTATATACATGTACAGACGTCGTTACAGGCGTTATAAGCACTATAGACGTCATATGAACAACAGACGTTACAGACACGCGGCTCCCACCTCAACCTGCCTAATTTCGTATTACCCTGGTCGTGTAATGGGGGCTCACACCAAAATGACTTCCAATATCCATTAGATATATTTGAATTGGGTAGATTATCTGGGAGCACACACCTGACAATCGCTAGCCTGGAACCCCCAGTGACTGATGCTGGCGTCAGTATTGGGCATTAATTACCTGCGACATTAATCACATTGTTTGCACTCGGACCTGCCAATCACCACACCACCACTGACTTCGATCGATCTTTGGCCAGGAAATTACTGGGCTGACTAATGAAGCCCCGAAAAGGTAGGTCTGGGTAAATATAGGACCTCGTGGTATGCCCAGGTAACGGCTGATGTGTGCGGAGGATTGTTTTATGTATAGAGAGTGATGCACGAGGAAAATATGGTTCCAACTTGACATGCGATTCGATTTACATTTTGGGGCTGTGATTCTATTCATATTTTGGGGCTGTGATTCTATTCATATTTTTGGGCTGTGATTCGATTCATATTTTGGGGTTGTGATTCTATTCATATTTTGAGGCTGTGATTCGATGCACATTTTTGGGCTGTAATTCGATTCACATTTTGGGGCTTTGATTCGATTAATAGTTTGGGGCTGTGATTCTATTCATATTTTGGGGCTTTAATTCGATTCATATTTTGGGGCTGTAATTCGATTACCAATTGAGTTTTTTTATTCGACACATATTGGGGTTGTGATTCGATATATATCTGTCCATGACGACTAAATAAAGAAAATTCAGCTTAGGTTGTGATTCGTTTCCCATTTTAGGTTTGTGATCAGAGGTGGCAGTTGGACAGTAGTGTGCATCGCAACAAGAGACTTGTAAGGTATCGATTCTTTTCGCAGTTTGCGTCAGAAAAAGCAGTTATGTTTTGGCAGACATGATTTTTGACAGCCATAACACAACACGATTTTTTTGTCATTTTATAATTTGAGCTAAGAAACAATTATTTTGTATGAAGCTTGTTTTTTAGTTCAAATTACTACTTCTGATGATTGCATCACAGTCTTGCAGCCTAGTTGAAATGTTCAGACACCGATACAGCAGCTGATGTTATTTGGCTGAAGGTAAAGAAGTGCAGTTTCTATATAGAGCAAGAAGGTATTGGATATAAAAATCAATATTAACATTTAACCGTTTTCTTTGAGAGCATCGTGCCATTTGTCTGGGAATGTGGAAAATCTGACAGAGACCGTCTTGCTACAGTCATGGAACACTCGTCATATTGGCTCCAAGTAGGCAGGACATTTATGCATAAAACATCTATGTAGTCTGAAGGAGATGTCATGTTTTAAAAGAGCGTTAGTCCGAACATCATAGTCACGTAGTTCGTGACGCGGTATCATTTTGTCCTTGAATATATCCGCAATTCGTTAAATAACATACTTCGTCACGTCATGGTACCTAAGCCTTTTCCACGGTGACCTTGCATTGTGCATTTATATCATGGCGTCACAGCGTTGTAACTATTTAGGTGATGTCATAGTATTATGATTTATGATGTCACAGTGTGTTTCATTAATGATTTGCGTCACAGGTGGCCCAGTCTTCTAAGGTGTTCGCTGTGCGGAGTTGCGTCCCTTGGGAAACCTATGATCGTAGGTTCGAATCCCAATTCTGACCGATTATGTTTCTAGGTTTGTCGGTACCATTCCTGTGCTCGTGGGTTTCACCAAAGTGGTAATCGTCTGACAACCGCATCACTTCGGGATAGCTGACGCGCCGTATTATAACTGGAATAATGTTCAAAACGGCGTTAAAATCAAAACACTCACTCACTCACTCAGCATAATATATTATTTCGCAGAAATGTACACGGAATTCGTGATATCATACGGTTGTATGCGAACATTAGTGTGAGTGCTGTGCCACTGTAAATGTTACTTGAGATGTAGCATTGTACATATTGTTCCTGCTTTTTTAATGTTGTTTCTAGTATTGTGAATGACATTTGTGATGTTCTAACATTGCATGTAGTGTGTGGCCTTCAGGAATCGTGGATGCATGTTGTGATGTTTCTTGCACCGTACGTTTACTCTTGTTAGCAACGTATCTGTGTATATCACACATGTATCTGTGGTGAATATAGGAATAATAATGTCATGGTACTGCATCTGTATTTCAAAATTTCATAGCCTCATAAATGCTTTTATTAAGTGCACCGGTTTTTTTTCTCTGACGACCTTGTACTGTAAGTATTGTTTTTCATATTTACATATGTATGTATGTATGTATGTATGTATGTATGTATGTATGTATGTATTGCCTTATAGCATTAAGCTCATGTGGTTCTATCATATGATATCAACATATTTATTGATCTGTACGAACAACCCTAATAGGAGAGACAATAGTTTGACATATTGTTAACTTGTCTACATGTATATTGTTTGTGGCATTTTTACATTAGGAATTACACCCACACTGTCAGAACATTACAAATTCCGACCACAATGCTAGAACATTAAGAATTACACCCACATTGCTAGAACATTACAAATTCCGACCACAATGCTATAACATTACGAATTACACCCACATTGCTAGAACATTACAAATTCCGACCACAATGCTATAACATTACGAATTCCGACCACAATGCTAGAACATTAAGAATTACACCCACATTGCTAGAACATTACAAATTCCGACCACAATGCTATAACAGTACGAATTCCGATCACAATGCTAGAACATTACGAATTCCACCCACAATGCTAGAGACATTGTGGGCGAATTCTAAATGTTCTAGCATTGAGGGTGTAATACGTAATGTTATAGCATTGAGGGTGTTATACGCAATGTTATACCATTGAGGGTGTTATACGTAATGTTATAGCATTGAGGGTGTTATACGTAATGGTCAAACATTGTGGGTGTAATACGTGATTTTCTATCATTGAGGGTGTAATACGTAATATTATAGCATTGTGGATGTAATACGTAATGTTATAACATTGTGGGTGTAATACGTAATGCTCTATCATTGAGGGTGGAATACGTAATGTTATAGCTTTGAGGGTGTAATACGTAATGGTCTAACATTGTGGGTGTAATACGTAATGTTATAACATTGAGGGTGTAATACGTAATGGTCTAATAATGTGGGTGTAATACGTAATGTTATAACATTGAGGGTGTAATACGTAATTTTCTATCATTGAGGGTATACTACGTAATGTTCTATCATTGAGGGTGTAATACGTAATGTTATAGCATTGAGGGTGTAACACGTAATGTTATATCATTGAGGGTGTAATACGTAATGTTATAACATTGAGGTTGCAATACGTAATGGTCTAACATTGTGGATGTAATACGTAATGTTAAAACATTGAGGTTGCAATACGTAATGGTCTAACATCGTGGGTGTAATACGTAATGTTCTATCACTGTGGGTGTAATACGTGATATTGGTGTAATTCCAGCATTACATATTTATCCTTTGATTTACAGCGTTGTCAGAGCAGCTTGAAGCGGTCAAGTACTTAATAATATTCTACTAGCTCTATGTATTGAATGCTTGACGTTTCAGCATCGTCATGGTAAATTAAAATATATATTATGCCCAGTAATGTCTACTTATACTGCAACACAAACCCCACACACCCACACCCACACACCCCCTCCCCTAACCCACCCCACCCCACCCACCCCCCACCCCCCACACCCTCCTGCAAACATCAAGACTCTCCCAAAGTGTCCAATCACAACAGGTTCCCGCGTTAGTTTACAGATGCAATTAGAATATTGCAAAATGTATTTCCTGTATAGCTTCAAGTCCAAATCCCACGACAGTAAAGACTCACAAAGGGCATGTCTGACTCACTGTGTCAGCCTTCAAAGTGCTCAGTATGCACTCGTGAAGCATGGGGTGAACACAGATACTTTACCTCGAGGCGATTAATTTTGCAAAACCGTCACGATAACTATCCTTACCTAGACCGGACCATGTAGGCACGATATAGCCTTTATTACATGTATACCCATCGTCGACGATGTCGTTAGACCCCTCATGTGCTCCCCCCTGCGTTCGCTTCATCAGTGACTGCATTAACTCCGTGGAAATCGGCCCACGACAAGACCGCTGATTACATGAACATTTCAAGCCCTGGTAATTAGCAATGGTGGCAATTAGCGTTGGGGCTGCGGAAGATGGTACGATTTCAATTTGGTTAGCTGTCCCTGGGAAGACACTTGGTTCGTCATTAACACGTGAGTGATAATCCTGATCCCATTGCGTGGCTTTTCATGGCATTACCGTGTGAAAATTACTAGATGCATTTCAGAGCTTGATAACACAAAACGGACACAATTTCACTCAATAATCATCAACCAATAATTGTAGATCCCATCTTTGCGGCTGAAGTTTGAGACGAACTTGACACAAGGGAACAAGACGCCGAGTGTAGGTACTGTTAGTTAATGCTGTGAAAATCAATACACATTGTTTAGATACAGGGAGACGTGTGACGTCATGGCTGGAATATAAGGGTTGAATGCCTGGGGACCGTCTTTGATCCAACCTTTCCTTACATGTAGTAGACTGGAATATACCTTATGTCATTGATCTGGATAGAGCGGCCTTGATTGGAGTGTGTCAGCCACATGCAATATTCATGTATAATCGGAAGCAATGATGTAACAACCAGGGGTAATCATGCCATGTAAATATACCGATTACCCTCACCCCCATTCTACCCCTTCTAGCGACCACACCTGACTGATACGCCTCCCGTGGGGCGCCTCCTCATTTCAGCAGCGTGCACCAACTTCCGGGACATAGTCAGCTGGTGGCCGATCATGTAATATGTTAATATACATTATAACTTAGCCACTGCTGCCGTAACACAAGGCCCAGCATCCACCTACCATACATATCAAAAGGAACGGACGACGTTACTTTGCCTTCATTGTTACCATAGCGACTCGATCGCAGGAATATCATTGTGTCGACACTGATAGGACGAGGAATGTCCATATGCAATGCACGGGAACAACGGCAGATCGAAGCGGGCCGCATTACTGTGCAATAGCCATACTAGATAGCAAGCTGGAGGCAGAGTGAAGCGGCCAACTGGTGCCTGACAGCAGCGATGTGCAGAAGTACAATACAAGCTGCTTTGTTCCTCGTCCAGCGTTCAGATGGCAGCACGTGTACTGGTCAGTGATTTCCTGGACCTACCCAGTCCGTCAGTGAGCGTCTAACATGTGGATATGTGGATACACTTCTCATCCCTGTCTTCATAGGACAACGGTGTGTACAGTCGAGCGTTTTTTAGCTCTCGGTTTATGTTTTATTCAAAACAAAACAGAAAGCTTGGTGTATGGATGTGTGGGAGAAGATGGAAGGGGACGGACCACCGTTGCCTTCTAGATGTGTAGCGAGTAGGGTAAGTTGCCCCCTACGGGTGCCCCCCGCCATGTGCCGGTGAGGAGCGCCACCCACCCGTCATCGTGTCTGCTGTACAATGAACAATGCCCTGTGTTAATCTATTAATCCCCAGCGTATGGAATACTGTTGTGACCAAACGCCGTGCACAGATCCAGCATGAGCGACCCCGAGAAGGACGGACCCACCGACAGCGACAGTGCCGCTCTAGTTGTCAACGACGACGAGGACAATCAAAATACACCCAAGAAATCTCGGAAGAGGTTGTCAGGGGATGATCAGCGGATCCTGCTAAATGTTGGAGGGGTGCGACACGAAACGCACGTGTCAACACTCCGCAACATAGCCAACACGCGCTTGTGTCGCTTGGCGGAAGCGCACATTCTCTCCGGGAATGGGAGACAGGAGTACTTCTTTGACAGACATCCTGCCGTCTTCAACAGTGTTATTGACTTCTATAGGACAGGTAAGGTTTCCACTATGGTATAATATACGGTGGCATAGATGTGGATATGTGAATTATATGTCATGTCAGAGTTGTCATTTATAGTATGGCACAGTTTGGCTGGGTGCCGTTGTACAAAACAACCTTAACGGTACGACTGTCGTAAGTCTATGTTAAGGTATTGGAGTTACGATCACCTTAGCGCTAAGATCGCTTTGTACAACGGCACCCTGATTTGTAACATCAGTAAAAGTTATTTCTTATTCTGCACGTCTAGCTTCTGATCACTATCCACGGTAGTCCTTGGCAGTCCGTACAAACTGCACCATCTATTCGTAGATATTCTTTGTTACAACCCCCAGTAACCGTGGATCGTCGTAGATACGGTACCATCTAACCGTAGATTTTACCGTGGTACAGTACCATCTAGCCGTTGTTTTCCTCAGATACTGTACCATTTACTCTTGTATTTCCTTAGATACGGTAACATTTACTCTTGGATTTCTTTAGATACGGTACCATCTACCCGTTGATTTCCTTTGATACGGTACCATTTACCAGTTGATTTCCTTAGACACTGTACCATTTATTTGTGGATTTCTTTAGATACACTACCATCTACCCGTTGATTTCTTTAGATACGGTACCATTTACTCAAGGATTTATTTAGACACGGTACCATTTATTTGTGGATTACTTTAGATACGGTACCATCTACCCGCTTATTTCCTTAGATACGGTACCATTTACTCAAGGATTTCTTTAGACACGGTACCATTTACCAGTTGATTTCCTTAGACACTGTACCATTTATTTGTAGATTTCCTAATCTACTAATGGATTATATTTGGGTCTGTACCTTTAATCCGTAGCTTTCCTTAGATACTGTGTTACTTACCCGTGGATTTCCATAGATACTGTATTATTTACCCATGGATTTCCTTAGATACTGTATTATTTACTGTATCATCTACCCGTGGATTTAATTTGATCCTGTATATCGATAGCCTCGCTTCTAAGTCTTACATTTCTCATTTATAATAAATCCACCCAAAATTTAAATTTTGATGTATCCTCCTTGGATGCGACAACATGTTTTAACCCACCTTAGTGCGTGCGCCCTCCATGCCCGCCACGCAACCCCCTCACCCCACCTACACACCCGACCCTGAGATTATGTCACAGTCTCTCTACACCGTGTATTGATCCGTGTATCTGCATAACAGAGAATGTCATGTTTAAATGTCAGCATCACCTTCGTCGGAAGAACTTTAATCTGATTATAATAGGTAGTCTCCAGGGCACACGGGGAGAGGAATTCTGTCATGACAACACGGGCAGCGCCGCCATTACCGGAATATCAAAAATTCCCATCAATGCACACCTACCATGGGGACGGGCTACTAAACTGGGTCGTGTGTCGGGTGGTAGGAGAATCCTATCACACGAACGTCAATTTGTACCACCATCTGTCTCAGTGGTTGATTTCCTAGCGCTTGTCTAACGAGTCCCCGATGGCGATAAGCATTGTGATTAGCCCTCCGTCACGGACGACGGACGCGCAGACAGACTTTGAAGCGCCAAGGGGTACGCTGATCTTGTGTGACCCAAGCCTAGCTACCAATGTCATGAAAAACAAATCCTATTTAGACAAACATGATATTGTTGCTTGCAGCCATTGATCAATAGAGCCAGACTGTATCGTCTTGTACTGGAGAATATATCCTATAGGATACGCGGTGGTCTGCATGGGGGGTGGGGGTGGGGGTGGGGGTGGTGCAGGGTAGTGTTGCCCGTGGATTGGATGAGGGGGTGGGTAGGACGATACAGGGGTGAGGCATGGGGCAAGGACACTATTGGTAGTTGGATGGAGGCTGGGTGGGTGGCGATGGAGCTGTGTGTGTGTGTGTGGGGGGGGGGGGGGGGGGGGGTGGTTTGGTGAGGGTAGGACATGGGTTAGGGGTTGGGTACGGTCACGATGTATGGTTGATGATATTGAGGGAAGATCAGATGGGTTGCGTGAGGGTGAATGAGTGGGGAGGGGACACGACTGTGGTTTTACGTGAGAAACAGTTTATGAAGGGTGGAGCGGTTCGGGAGATGTATGGCAATCACACGACAAATGTTTGGGTCAAAGAGGGTGAAAACGCCAGCCCTAGTGTATGTCAACAGAACGTTCACACGAGATATTTCTGGCGCATCAACCTGTTGCTGTCTGAAGACGAAGGCCGCTTTCACCAAGCCATGAATCAGTAAGACGGAAGGCCAGCTCGACCTCGGGCTCAAGGCGAGTCGGCCAGTGGTGGCTCTAGTGTCCGTTTTAGTCAGATTCATCACGGATTCGTTATTGAAAGGGGAAACTGAATTAATCGTTGAGTCATCCTAATGGTTGATTATCCCAGTTTACAAATGTTTATTTGCGGTTCGCTACTTATGTATCAAAATTATTCACATTCCAACAGCTGCTGCGACGTGAGTTAATAAATATAAATTTCGTCTGTTAGGAGAGCATTCATGTCCGCACTACAAGCTGTCAACACATACGGTCTCTCTTTAATGAAACGTTGGCATACAAACAAACTCAGTTTAAATGAAACGCAAGCGAGCATATCTTAAAGCAAATTCCTAATGAATACATCACAGGTACAACGATGTGTGTTTGTGATGTTATAGCCAGTCGCAACACAATAAAAGGGGCGGTGGGGTAGCCTACTGGTAAAAGCATTCGCCCTTCTCGCTGAAGGCTCGGGTTCGATTCCCAAAATGGGTACATCGTGTAACGCCTTGTTTGGTTTCCCCTCGCCGTGATGTTGCTGGAATATTGCAAAAAGCGGCTTAAAACCATACTTGATCACTCAATCTATAATACTTAGTATTGGCTGGAGTTCCGCACCGTTAATTCATTGATATATTGTGCCACTCGGATGGTAATGCGACAAGAGACCGTATCCTGATGCATTATGCATGTGTTTAGTGATAAGTAGGTTAATACAATGTGAACTTGATGTCAGTTTACCATTCTAACGTGACTGCGTGATGTCCATTTTTGTTTCTAAACTATTCTTCCAGACCCGTATAACAGCTCATTTTTGTTTCGGCTAAATCAGCCGAGAAAGCAGTTTTTGTATCTATTACTCCGGTTTCCTGGAGATTAGTGTTTTTGTATGAATACTGTATATGTTTTTTGTGAATCCTGGATATATTTTTTTATGAATCCTGTATATGGTGTTTTTTACATGACTATCATATACAATACCATCTGACGGCAGTCGTGATCCTTTGATGGACTTTGCCCTATATCAAATTGTATACCACTGTTAACCATAAAACTGTTCTCAAAAACCCACCATCGTGTTATATGTAACTATATACGGCGTCATCAGGCGTTACACAACTGATAGTCGTATGCAATATCACTATTCCATTATTAGGTGTTCGGTACATGCCGAATAGACTCGAATTGTCCAGATGGTTTTCGATGAATACGGGAAGTGCAATAAGGTCTTGTTATCTTGAAGAGGGCACATGTGATCCAGTCGTCTAAGGCGCCGAAATTCGATGTGCAGGGTTGTATCCCTTGGGAACGCCAGAATCCTGTGAACGTGGGTTCGAATCCCGATTCGCTCCGATTATGTTTCTGGGTTTGCCAGGACCCTGAGCGTGCTCATGGGTTTCGTCAGAGATCTGCAATACTTCGGGTTTTCCTCCCAGATTAAACTGACACGCTGATATAACTGGAAAACTGTCCAAGGCGACGTTAAACCCAACTATCTCATTATCTCAACGTATCGCATTACATATCTATAGCGATCCTTTTATCTGGAAATCAACCGACGTCCAGCTTTCATCATATTTAGGTTCTTATTATATATGTATTATTTCATCTTGAAGTTAGCCTACTTTTTATTTTGAGCCTTTCCGAGAAAAGAACACTGTTCATATGTTCACATATCGAATGTGCTTGCGTCATTAATTGTGACGTCATTATAGATTACGTCAAAACATATGTGAGTATTACGTCAATAAAGATGACATAATTACACGTGTGTTAAGAAGTGTATTAACTCGTTTACATGAGCTAAATTCTTGATATATTCTGATTGGTGGTACTTACCTTTTCAAAGGTGTTTTGAATGTAATGTTACCCTAACGTTCTGTGAAAACTGTCTTTAAGTCTTTTACGTGACAAGGTTGAACATTCAACTGCCAAGGACATATTAGCTTCGTGATCTTTAACTCCATGAGGTTGTAGTATTGTATTATTCGACACAAGGGATTACATGTTATCTCTGACCAAACATCGAGATATACATCGAAATTTCAGTCGAGAGATCATTCGTAATTCTTCGATTTTCGTATGTTGTCAAAGTCAATCCTTTATCTCGAAGTCAACCCATGCCTGCAGCTCCACCGTAGATATTTACATCCCTTTATCTCGAAGTCAAAACTTCAGTCATATATATTAACATGAATCTTTCGTGATAATACGCCAGGGTGCTTTAAAGTATTTATGTGCCCGATCACTTCATTAAATCCAAAGTGCACTGGACCGCCTCCGTGGTCAAGTGGTAGAGCGTCTGCCATGAGTTCGATCCCCGGCCGCATCAAACCAAAAGACGTTAAAAGATGGTACTTGTTGTTACCCTGTCTGGCGCTCGGCTTTAAGGGGCTAAAACAAGGACTGGTCGGCTCGGAGTCAGTATACTGTGTCTGAGTGGGGTATTCATGTTAAACTGCGGCATGGTATCTCAGTGAGCTAGCACTGTAAATCGGCATCAGTCCGAACTAGTACAAGCAGCCACACACACACACACACGTACATGCACATCGCTATATAAGTGCAATAATCTTTGACGCGACGTTAAACCCCATTTCACCTCATCTCACCTCCAAAGTGCACTGTATACATTAAAGAGACATACGCTATTTGACAAAGGGGTCACAGCTAAACTACTCCAACCGAGACGCGTGTGTGTCAGCTCGCTAGCGCGTGTTCTCTGTTTGCTGTTTGACGACACAGA